TTTGGTTGTGCTTTTTTTTTTTTGGTCAATTTCTTTCCGTTTTTCTCTTACACACACAGGCAGCTCGAGCGCAGAATAATTTTTCTGTTAAGTACGCAGACATGCAGAAACAAGATCTGTCATCTAAAAAGGAAATCCAAAAAGGAACTGGGTCAAATTATACTTAATCCTTTTTTTTTTTTTTTTCATTTTAGTCAACAAAGTTTTTAGACCGTCTGCAAACTCTGCTTAGGTGAGTCTGTCGGCTGAACTCCGGGCTGGTTCGACCCTGCACCTGAGAAGCAGCGGATGCAGAGAGCCATCGCTGCGCGTGCTAAAGCAGAGACAGAGGAACGGGTAATGCCCTCATTGAGGAAAGCCGTCAGAAAAGTTTAAAGCTCATAGGAACTTTAGAGGTGTCAACAATTACTCTTTTGGGATTGATTCTCCTGATCATATTTGTCTTGGGTTTTGGTGACCTAACACCGTCTTGTGTTCTCTTTTGTGGCACTTTAGTTTCTATCTGCATGTTGGAATACCCTGACAGTTTTACAGGATAATGTTCATATTTATTACGAATGCGCTTTACATCACTTTCTTGCTATAGCCCCTAAGTCTTCTAAGCTGCCTAATTCGGCAGGTCGTTTTCCCTTTTGCATTTTTACATAGTTAATGTTCTTAAAAAGGGTACTGTTTTACAGCCGACACTTCACAGTCCATTAGTATGCGCACAGTGCTGTGTGTGTGCGTGCACTTTGATGAAGACCTTAAAATAACACAGCCCATCTGCACAGTGTGGACACTAACAGGGTGCATCTGAGGAAGATGCACCTGCAAAATCTGTGCGTGTAGCTGTATGCTTAATTTCCATCCATGATTACTCTAGATGCGTGCATGACTCCTATTTTTCTATTATAAATGCCTGCTTAAGACATCTGGCTCAGGGGGTTTTGCATATAAATGCTATTTAATAAAATAGTAGGCACAGTTTCTCAGATAGGTTAGGCAAGCAATTGCAAGGTTGAGTCCACCTCAAAAGCGCTGTGACTTTTTTTTTTTAAAGAGCAAGAGTTTTTGACAGTAGTTTTTACTGAAATATCAATTTTTCTGCCAACCGTCTTGCATATTTTCCAGTATGATGCTGCAATTTTGGATATACAAATAATACAGTTCAAATGTGTTCTTTGTCCATTTTGAGGAAGATGCTCTGAAGTACTTTAGTAAGACATAGCAAGTGCAGATGGCACTGCTCTGTCCTGTGAACAATCTGGGACAAATCTTGTTTGTTTTATCAGTGCAAGTAGTTGTCTCCGTAATCTGAGTGATGGTCTGTCTAATTTGAGGGAGACCATGTCGTCCATGAACGAAGAGAGGCTTTGGGTTGGAGGAGTATTCTGATGGATGACTTAGTATGGTGGAAGTATTAATATGCCTCATGAACATGCCTCATATTAGAGTTGTGGAAGACTTGTTTCCCCTAGTTTCGGGTTATTCCTGTGGTCCGTGGACACTTTTTCTGAGCTCGAAGACTTAGATAATGTGTAGGTGAGTATGTTTGCAGCAGATACACAGACGCGTGCCTCTTTCCTCACTTCCTTTGCTGAGATTCCATACAGTTGTAGGGCAAATGTCTTTGCTACATGCCACAGCTAGCTTTTGATTCTGGAGGTTATAGTACTGAAAACAATAGCACTGAAAGAATGCTTCCAACATGTGATAATTTTCTTGCTAAAATACGTTATTGAGATTTGCTCGATAATTGTCTTGGCTTCAAGGGAAATTTCCATTTGTCATACTGCAACAATTTCATCTAAAACCTGCTTTGTTTAGTCACTACTGGGTGATTGCAATTCCTCCCTTTTAAAAATATCATTCTTAAACTCTTTTCCTTTCTCATAATGAGGGGCAAAACCTTGAAGAAAAAAATCCACATTAGAACAGTGTCTTGCCTGTACCACCGTACTTGAATAATACAGGTGACAACGCTGAGCTATTTCAGCTGTTCCAGGCAATGTCAAATTTTCCAGTTCCTCCATTTCTTAGATAAACTGTAATTATGTATTTCTCCCCACTACACTGAAATATCCCCTGCGAGCCTTTGCAACTCTTGTTTTCCCTGGTGAAGACTATGTGGCAGTATATTTTTTCTTTTACAATTAGCTCTTTAGACAGGAGCTATTCCTGCAGGTTTTTCTTTGGCTAAGTGGGTCTGAAGACAGTGATGTTGGGTCCTTACTGAATACTGCTCACTTTACTTTAAGGCGCTATCAGCTATTATGAAGATATTTTGGAGCATAAGAGCTCACTTTATGGAAACTAGGGTAGGGGGATGGAGCCAACATCTCCAGAAAACACTAAATTGTAGATGGGGAACTGGGTACGTGTTTTAAAATTCTTACAGCGAATGCAGGTAGAACAGGAAAAGAACATGAAAATGAACACATTGGAAATTTTTTGGTCATGCTTGAAAACAAACTCTCTCTGTGTTAATTTGCTCTGTCTTCTGCTTTGTTTTACTTGTTGTTTACCTAATGGCCTGTTCCAGTTGCTGCTGAAGGTTTTGTGATCTCCTGCAGTGAAAGTAGCATCAGGCTTCTGAAGCTGCCATAAGCAAACCCAGTCTGAGATAACTCTGTCCCAGCTCAGTTAGTGGAGTCAAGTTGAGGCTTGCATTTCCCAATGAGAGATGCTTCTGCAAAAATCTCTGGTTGCACTTTTGGAAGATTTACACCTCTTAAGCCTTACTTGAAGTCGACTGCTCAAGCCGCACTCAGACTTACACGCTATATTTGGCAAGATAGTAAGACTTTTGAAGTAATAAATCATAAGATTTAGTCTATTTTATAATTCTCTGTTATAAAACTAAAAAAGTCTGCTTAGATCTGGGAATGTTTTGCTGGGGAGAGGAGGAGTTAGTCCTAATGGTCTTGGTTTATAAATTACATCAAGGGGCAGTAAATTGAAGGTGGAATTAAGGATTTTTGCCTTAACATTAGAGCCAAAAACCTCACTGTACTGTAGTCAGAGGATATTGCTCTGGCACTGCTGCTGGCTGCTGCATAGCCTTTAACCGGTCACTCAAGCTTTAGACAGTCTCAGTACTTGTGGCTGTGAATGAGGGAGAACTGAGTAAACCCGCATTAGAAGCAAGCTCAATTGTACTCTGAAATGTTAAAAATAAATGTGTTATTAATACAAAGCATTCTTATTTCTTACTGAGTTAAACGTTTGGTAAGAATTGGCAACAGGGTTGTGACCAGCAAGTTACAATCCCTGCACTGATGACCGCAGCGTAGGAGCTTGGTTGGGGTTGTGGGGGGACTGTGTACCGAGTTCTTGTCCCCACTTTCCTCCTGACACTCGACTCCAACTTGGCTTATACATTTAGTTGTACGAGTGTGATCTGCAAAGCAGGACCTAGAGTTCTGGTTAAGGGAAAGGTTCTTTTTCTCTCTTTGCCTCTATTCCTGGTCTGAATATTGGTGTGGGAGGTGATAGTATTTCTTCTTCGGTATCACAAAAAGACCTATGAAGATTAAATAGCTGATGCTTCACCTAGCAAGGAAAATAATGCATGCATTATTATGGCCGTGAAAAAACTTGTTTCAGAATTGACAGTAGGTGTGTAGATGTGGGTACATGGCTAGCTAGGGACTTGTGTTGTAGATCAGAGTTTTAATTTGGAGTGGGGAAAAGAAGAAACAACTCACCTCTGTAATAAACATTACTGATTTAGTAGGTATACAACAGATAAGTTACTTCCTAGTGATTTGAGGAAAATTAAGTTAACGAAGTGCTGCATGTAGTGAGACTGCTTTTGTTTCCTTGTGCTGCCAGAAAAAGCTTACAAAGCATAGTTTCTTTGCTGGACAGATTAAGGGGGGAATGAGTTGCCATTCATTTAATTTACTATATTGAGTTTTTCATGGCAGATGCCTCGTATGTTTGTATACCTGACCAACGGGAGCTTGGAACTTCTGGGCATGTTTTGACTTCAAAAGGCTTATTGCTGTAAAACAGTATGAATAGACTTTAAAAACTTTCCTCCCTTGCAGGGAAGAAATTTAGCAATGCAGAGAGGGCAGACTGGCTTCAAGCCCTGCCTGGTACCTGCCTGAAAATCCTTGTGCTGCAGGAATAGTAATGCAACCTATCAAGAGAGCCCCAGGAAGAGATACACACACACACCAAGGTGGATGTGGCTGCAGAGCTGGCCAAAAAAGTGCAAAAGTTGGAGTAGTTTTGGTTACAAGGCACAAAGCTTCTTCAAGCTATGCTAGCCTTGCAAATGCAGTAGGAATAAATTAAATTTACTTATGGGTCACATTTTGTGAGTATTGTCAGTCCTGATTATGCTGTTGTCTAGATTTCCTTTGCTTAAGGAGAACTGTTATTGCAGAGCTTATCTACTATGCAGTAGACATAAGATATCCTTTCCTAGTTTATCAGAATCTATTTACTTTGCATTGATTCAGTTCTTCAGAAAACAGTCTTTGATTCTTTGCAAAATAGAAGGATCCCTTAAGTTTGGTCTAAGCAACTGGATTTGATTATCGTTATATACTGAATATTGATTTTTAAGTGATTTTAATAGGAAATGTCAAAACTAACATATTTCACATCGCATTAGAAGGGAAGTTTAAACTATTGATAGTTTAAATATTTTTGGCCACTCACTCTTTGGTCTAAGCTTAGCCAACACTTGATTGTTATTTGACTGCTTATTACCCAAGTGCAATTTTTGCAGTTGTTGTTTGCTTAACAATGTTGAATTATAAGTCTGTTGGCAGAGTCCAGGTATTTCTTTCCAGAGCATACAGGTTTATATCAATTGTGATAAAAGAAGGTATTTTGCGTATCATTTACAATTACTTTATCTGAGCTTGAAAATTTAGCCTAGGACAACCAGGGGAGTTTCTTTTGGCCTGAGATTTAGAATAAAGCTACTTACCATTTGTACTACAGAACTTCTATAATTACATTTTTATCAGTAGATAAAGACTAGAAGTAATCTGCATGAACTGTCTTGATTATTGCTGCAGTTCTTCGAATTGAAACAATATGTGGCAGCCACTGCAAATCAGTTCTTACAGTGGGCATCCCTGGAACCCTTTTTCGATTTTCGAGGTAGGACACAGCTTCTGCTCCTCGGTGAGTGAAGTATCCTAGCGAAACCATAAAGTAGGAAAGCTAGGAGCCCATGGTTTCCGGTCCATTGTAATACGTGGTAAGAGAAGGATAGTCAGTGCTGACCTTTGCAAAATATACCAGAAAATATTCAGCAAGCTCCATTGACTAAATCTAGACAAGGTCATCAATAGCACAGTAGCTGGAACTCCTGACCAGGGAATTGATTC